ACATTATGCGTGGGATATTTACATCAGGTTTCCCCCTTTTCAGGGATTGTTTGGAATTGGCCCAGCTTTATCTAGCCATTGAAAATGTGAAAAAGACACGCAATTTGGCCTGTCCTGAGCTTTTAAGGTGAGATTCTGAGAGGGCGTGGTTGCAAGTATCTTCTTATCTCAATAAAACGTCATTCATTTTATAAAATTCAAAGGTTTTGAGTCGCTAAAAGTATCTCGCCACTCTGACGGTGGGAACTTTCTGGGACTATCTTCATCGACGAATTATTGCCCATTAACTTCAGAAAATAATCTTTTATCAGGCCTTATCTGGTTCATCTTGACTTTTTATGGCTCTTTGTGAGAGACCGACTTCTACATCTTAAACTTGATAAGAAACATATGTTTTAAGCTTGCCAGTTAATATAGAAAGACTCGCATGAGAAATTCTATATTACATCCCCCCTCTCCGAGAAAATTTTATTTCATTATTAAATTTAGAAAAATTATGGTTAATTTCTTGCAACCCCTTCCATCAGAATTTTCCATAAAGTTATGACAAAATACACATTAAATTATCAAATGAAAGTCTTCAAGCAAAACAAAAATAACAAATGTAAAGTAAAAGTTGTGAACAAGAAACCATGCATATCTATTAAGTATAACATTATGTAATGTTTACATCAAATTATCTTCTACAGGTAATGTATCAAAATTTATGCACACATAAACAGATAGCAAAAACATAAACAAAAAGATTTAGAGTCTCTAATCTTATTAAATATTTTTTTTCTCGAAAACTTCTGTTTAATAACACCACAAAATGATATAAGTGAAGTTTTTTTTCTTTTTTAAGTTAATATAAAGAAAACAAATTAGAAATAATAAACTTAAAAACACATAAACAGAATTTCATTATTCACATACATTTTTAAAGTGAATGAAGGAAATAAGAAAAGGACACAAATGTGTCGTTACTCTAGAATTTATATTCTAGTATCGTTAAGGGCTTGCTACTGGATACAAAATTGTAGTCTCTCAAAGAAGGAGAACAATCCTGTATCTCAGCAATATCTCAGCAATCAGCAGTATTGTATCTCAGCAATATTGTATCTCAGCAATATTGATACGGAAGATACTATCTCAAACTATACAACAAGAAAAAATATTATTTGTTTTTGGTTAGATCATATGAGAATTTCGTCCCATATTTATTTTGGATTCGGGTAAACACAGAAATTTTGAAGGGTCAGATCTTCCGTGAAAAAGGGGTAACATGTTCAAATGAACCATGTCCATGACAATTTCCGATCCTTAAATTTGTATAATGCAAAACAAATCATATATTTGTTTTTCACTTTATTATTTACCTTTTTTATTTAATAAATTTTATTCATGATTAAGCTTTAATTTCTCTGGTACGTAATATTTTCTTAGTTTAGAAACATGTACAATTTCTGTTTTTTCTTCAGTATGACTATTCTTTTTATTTATTTCGTAATTTACATCAGACATCTTTTTAATGATGCTGTAAGGACCACTAAAAGTTGGAGAGAGTTTTCTAGTGTTAGGATATTTAAACTCTTCATACATGACTGTGTCACCTGGTGAAAAGTTTATATCTACAAATCTAGAATCGTAATAAACTTTATTTTTCTCGTGGTATCTTTTTGTGTTTTCGATAGCTATTTTCCTAGCTTCGTTAAGTGGAAGATAAATATCCTCTTTTAAAGGATTTTCATATGGAACTATGCCATTTAATAAATATGTCGGCGGGAATTCCGTAACTGAGTGAGGAGTTAAATTATATTCCTGAACTACTTCTTTTAATAATTTAGGCCACGGTATCCTGGAAGAATTTGCATTAATTTTGCATTTTAGCCACGTGATTATTGTTTGTCCTAATCTCTCTACTTTGCCATTAGTTTCAGGCTTATGCGCTGTAGTTAAAAGTTGTTTAACTTTATGATGCTTAAGAAATTTTTTGAAATGCGAAGATGTAGAAGCTGCATTTCTATCACTTAAGACAGCGTTTCTCAACCTTTCAGTATTCGCGGCCCAGTTTTCAATCATAATTTTCATCGCCCCCCCCACTTGCAGTAAAATGTATACAA